ATCACCACTATATTGGATATTTGTATCTTAACAATAAGTAATATATTCTTAGGGTTATACATTATATCACCAATCCTCTATCAAGTATACATAAATTCATTGTTATCCATTTTAAAAGAAAAAGTTCTAAAGTATTCAATTCATATATGTATCAGTTTTTCATTGTATCATTGTTAATCTATTTCACAGCAAGATCCCCTTAGTATTTCTTGCCCTTTTCTCTAATTACTTATTGTTAAGATACAAATATCCAATATAGTGGTGATGAATTATGGCATAAATGAAGGCATCGTGTAAATGTCCCCCACACCTCCTAGTCGCACAACAGTAAGTAAGTAAAGCATGGCATTTGTATGATTGTCAGCCTCTGTGAAAGAATTAAGGTTTGCAATGTTTATTCAAAATCAATGATCAGATCTTTGATTTGACATTTTGACCCATTGCTTTGTTAACGTTACATGGTAAGGTAATGATTTTTGGGCAGGCAAATTAATGGGATTCATTAATTTAATTCTTAAGGCAGCCATAATACAAACTCAAACCATGAAATTCATGGGCATGCCTGTTTTATCATTTCTTTAGGTAACAAATGATGTGAACCAATGTTATAAGGTTTGTTATTTACTAAGGATGGTAAATTGTGCGTTGGACTCCACAGATCAATGTACTTACCAAGCCTGCAAGGGCCACCAATGACGTTTGAACTTGGGTCATATTTCCATTCTCAAAGAGATCATTTGCTTCAAAAATATCATGTGGTTTCATGCCATATTGTTGTATAGCCTTGATAAAATTTCCAATGTTCTCCAGCTAAAAACAAATGCAGGAAGTCACACTTTTACGACTTGTTACAGTTTGTTTACTTAAAAGTGGAGCTATACATTACTTGGAACCTGTAATTGTGGAGGGCTATTGTTTGAGAAAATAAATCAGGTGGAATTCACATCGATGGGGAGGAATGCTACCTTGCCAGCAACCTCCTTCAAATCACTGTTCTGGCTCTTTTTAACGAGAGTTATGATTTAGGTGCATATATTTGTAAATAAGATGTTTTTAATTGAGGAAAATAGTACTTAAATGACGCTTGCATAAGGAGCAGAACAGAAAACAGGAAGAGAATATTTCAGTGACTAACATGGCATCAGAACAGTGTGATTTTATTTTATTCAACTTCGATCTTGAAGTGCCCAGCTATATGATCCCATAATATTTATACTATTGTTGCAAAAAATAATTTTGCTTCAGCATCTGTTGCATTTGAATGTTTGCTTTGTTGGATGTGGGTATTCATCCATTTAATTTTTCCTGATACATATAATGTGAAAAATCATTTCCCTTAAAAAAAAATGGGATAAGAAATAAGAAGGTGCAGTTATTGATTTTCATTCTTGTATTACTAAAGGGCTCTGCTATTTGGAAAGTGAGTGTACGGTATCAGATTCCTTCAGCTATAAAAATTTAGAGAAAAACTGCCAAGAGATAGAAATTTCTCCAATCCCAAGAAAGCTTTTAACAAAACTTCTGCTTCTCTGATTTCTCTTAAGAACTATCCTCCTCCTTTCTTTTCCATTTGCAGGAAATATATGTACAGGGATGATACCTTCTAAAATTAGCAATCCTGTCGCACAAACATTGGTGTTTTACAGAAGTTAATACTGTAAACCATTTGTGGTTCCTGAAAAACAAGCCTCTTTTTGAAAACCGCTGGCCATTAACATTTATTCATTGCAATTCTCCTTAAAGAAAAGACAAATAAAAAATAAACCATAGCTTACCTGATGCCAGTTTAACTTGGACTGGTTTATTTTCTTTATTGATCCTGGGTGGAGTTTGTTGATAAGCCTGCAAAAGTGATGAAGCAAAGGGCGTTTTTCTATTTTCAAAGCCATAATCTATTTTATTAATCCCGCTATCAAAGGGGTTTTATGTTTCCTTCATATAAGAAAATGATCAAGCTGCATAAGTTTCATATTTTCCATGGACTAAGCTAACTTATAATTTTGTTCAACCATTACACTGCATTTTCCTGTATGCAAAATATAAGAAGTTTCTTGAAGTTCCAGTTTTTAAAAACCTGACATGAAAATTATAGGGTATTTCAGTAACAGGCAAGCTTATTTCATAGAGAACAAAAAATGCACAAAACGTTGATAATGTTGATTCAGCTGAAGAGAAGGTTATAAAGGAGAACTATATTTTGTTGTTTCTACAGAGTTATTTTGGTAGGTTTAGTTTTTCAAACCTGCACTTTCAACAATTATGTAATATACACATCTCTAGAAAGCATGTATAGCCTTTCTAAGACAGAGGCATGTGTACGTAACGTTTTAAAAATGGAAACTATAAATTTTGATCTACGCCCAACAGCTGGTGTTTTAGGCTTCAACAGATCTACCTGAAGGAGAATTTTAAAAGCATTGCTTACTCGCATAGTATAATGCCATCCTTTAAGCCCAGCTGGAAATTTGGGCCAATGCTCATGCCAGTAACTTCTTCAATCCAGTTGCGGAGATCTTCTTCTACCTGTGGATCATATTTCAAAGCAATCTACAAAACAGAAGGGGGGAAAAAAAGAATTAATGTCTCTTTTCTAAATTTAATTCTTTTCCCATTTGCTTAAGCAATTATATTTGAGATGCTCCCCTTTGTGGATAGATGTTATTTTAAGCATTAATTTTATTAATCTGTATAAAAATAAATGTGTAATTATCCCTAAAGTTTATTTTTTTTACTGAATTATGAATTAAACTAATGGATATTTTAGAATTTATGTGATTTTCTTCTAAGAGTTTAAAACACATCATTCTTCCTTGAACTTCATTCTTAATCAGGCTTTCTAGATTGTATGGCAATGAACCAGTCTGCATTATGATGATATAAACTCTTCTGAATACACCCAGAGGAACCTGTCACAAGCAAGCATGACTAACAAACATATATGGCTTTGCCTGTGGGGTATTTAGCTTAATATGCAAAACCAGAGGCTCTGATCCATTCCTCTTACCAAGGCAAAAGCATCTGTCTGATTCTCAAGAGGCTGTAGGAGCACCATCCTCAAATAAAATGAAATAAAAACCACTATCAAATGAAATCCATATATGTTCTTACTATGGCTTTGAAGAGTTGATGGTGTGCATAAATCAGAAGTTGCTATTTGGATAAGAAATTCCACCCTTCAGATGAATTAAATTAATGACAAATATCTGCCATTCTGCTGCTACGTAAGACTCTTAGCCTAACTTCAAAAACCTCTGTTTTTCTACATAGAAACAATGGAAAGAGAGTCACATATTGAGACTGGAGCAATAGACTCAACCAAGGTCATCCATTCCTGCAGAAAATACTCAAAGCCGATTGGCTGAGCCATCTGACTGCTCCCTATAAAAGGACTGGCTCTCAGACAGGTCAGCGCTAGATCTGTAACATAGTTTGCTGAATAAAGGGCTGTTGTTGTCATTGAAGCCTGAGTCCTGTCTCATATGTTCACCCTATCTAACAGAGA